TAAAACATAACCTACCCAGCTAAACAAAAAACACAGATTTCTTGTCCCTTCTCTGCATGTAACCAGTGGAGAAGAGGGCAAACTGAGTACATGCCAATTGCTGTAGACACAGAAGCAAAATGAGGATAGACATATGCATGGATATAAGCGGAAGGCCAGAACTTTTCTTAAACTTTAACACAAGAAAGGGGTGCTATCCGCCCATCATCCATGCTCTCCTATAACCAGATATTTAATTGATTCCAGTGCCTTCTGGAACGGAGCTAAATGAGGGTCCACATGGCCCCTGCGCTGGGCTAAGTCCTGGCATCTGGGGAAAGGTAACCAATCAGCACCCCTCTACCCCAGCTGGCCAATGGGTGCCAGAGACTCCCGAGCCAGGGGGAAGCTTCCTATTATCCATTGGCGAGGGTCTCCTTCCCTTGCCACTGAAACTGTCCCACTTTCAACACTGGTGCCTCAAGTTACCCTGCCCATTGATGCAGGTGGGTGGCATTGACTGCTCATGGGGTATCCCCTAATTTCATTGCCACTCTCAGCCATTCCTTTCGTTGTTATGCACCATCAAGGCCATGAATCTTTCACAGACAGGCTGCTTGAATACTCCTGCCACTCCTGAAGCTGACATCTGCCTTGTCCTTTACCTCATTCTGGGCTCTTATTTATCAGCATCCTGAAAGAACTAACTGTGGACTCATCTCTGGCTTCTGATATGTCCAATTCTAGTCCTTCTACTACTGTCTACGAAGGTTTGGGAATCTCCCTCTCTTTCCAGTTGTCCATGAATCCAACACCAAGACACACTCTGTTTTGATTAGGTCCTTGAAAAACCAGAATCCAATCACTAAGCTTTCCAAAAACCACTACCTAAGCCTCCCTCCGATTACTTATTTTCTTCTTAAAATGGAGAAGTATTCAGAGATTAGTAAATAGACCAGAAAATATTTCATTTTAAGTGAGAACATTCCATAAAAAATTGCCTTCCATCTATATCATATCATCAAAGAATATAAATACTAAAAACATGACTTTCTGCCCCAACTATGAGAGAGGCAAGGTCGATGAGGTAATATCAAGTTGGCCCAATAAAAGATATTCTATCACCCACCTGTCTCTCTAATATCCTGGGACTGACACAGCTACAACAAAACATGCCCAAACTATGTTATCAGAGTAAGATTAATAGTTTTCTTTCATGTGGTAAATATTTCATAACCTGGAACTTAAGTAGTAAATAGTCCTTTAAAGATTTTTTTCCTAGTCTACAACTAGATGTTCAACAGGGACAACTACAATAGAATGCAAGGCGCCACTGACAGTAGTTAGAAGACCAAGGCCAAATTTTTCAATGTGGGTGCCGAAAGTTAGGTTTTTAAGTCCATATTTAGGCCCATAAATAAATGGCCTGATTTCCAAAGGTGCTGAGCACTCATCAACTCCCATTGAAAGGGGCAGAAGCAGCCAAAGCAGGGACTGCTGCACTAGTGGGAGGTTGTAAAATGGAGTTGAGTAGGGGGGCTGGGAACTGTACAGCGGAGAACAACACACACAAGATAGAGGCACTAGGACCTAGGGAATGCTTCCCCTCCACACCACTATGTCATCCTGGGGGGAACTGCAGAGAGAACCCCATCAAAGTCTCCCACCGGTTGGAGCAGAAGCAGGGTGCACTCTCAGATAATTTCCTACACTTTTGACTGGACTTTCTCTACCCAGTGGTTCTCAACCTGCGGCCCGTTTGCAGCCCAATCAGCACAGAGCTACAGCCCATGTGACATCCTCAGGGGCATAGAGGTAGTATTGGATGCAGCCCATAACTGTAAATAGGTTGAGAACCACTGCTTTACCCTGTGCTGATTGGCTGTTTGCTCCAACCCTTCCCCTCCCTGCCAAATCTCTTCACCTCAGCTTCACTCCACACCTGCCCCTCTTATTCTCTTCTGCCCTGCCCTGTCCCCCTCATTCCCCTTCCTTTTTCTTTCCATCTTGCTGATCCCTGCTTCACTAAACCCACCTCCCAAAAATGTTTCAGTATGAGGTTTAGCATGGTATCCTTCACTAGTGTTATCTGTTAAAAGGGCTAAGATCCCCCAAAACAAGGGCGAGAGGTGGGGCTGAGCGACTAATTTATTTTTCAGTTTGGCCAGCAAACCAAAACTTCAGGAAAAAAAGTTGGTTCTGAAACTGTGGCAATGGAGGAATTACACCCCTTAGCGTAGTGTTTAGGGCACTTGCCTGGGATGACCATCTTATCTCCGCATTATTGATTCAGAGGAGGGATTTGAATCCACATCTCCTACCCTCCCAGGTGAGTGCCTACATCTCTAGGCTATAGAGTCATTTTCTGTCTCTCTCTCTGGCCCAGTAAATTTTAGGTACAGTAGAACCTCAGAGTTACTAACACCAGAGTTACGAACTGACCAGTCAACCACACACCTCATTTGGAACTGGAAGTACACAATCAGGCAGCAGCAGAGACGAAAAATAGGCAAATACAATACAGTGCTGTGTTAAGCATAAACTATTAAAAAACTAAAGGGAAAGTTTAAAAAAGATTTGACAAGGGAAGGAAACTGCTTCTGTGCTTGTTTCATCTAAATTAAGATGGTTAAAAGCAGCATTTTTCTTCTGCATAGTAAAGTTTCAAAGTTGTATTAAGTCAATCTTCAGCTGTAAACTTTTGAAAGAACCACCGTAACATTTTGTTCAGAGTTACGAACAACCTCCATTCCCTAGGTGTTCGTAACTCTGAGATTCTACTGTAATTATACAAAGTGGAGCTGCTTCAACAGGAAAGACTGAGAGCAGAACAGAATAGCCAATTGGCTAATGGTTAGGGCACTCCCTTAGCAGGGGCCAGTCCAGAAGTCAAGTCCTTGCTCCAATGAATATTTAAGCATTTATACAAAGTGGAGCAGCGTCAGCAGGAGAGATTGAGACCAGCCTATCCTAGAATAGCCTGTAGCCTGGTGGTTAGGGCACTCACCTGGGTGGGGGAGTTCAAGTCTCTGTTCCAGAATGGGCATTCCAACCTGAGTCCCCCATGTTCCAGACAAGTGTGCTGCCCACTGGTCTAAAGGTGACAAGGGGGAACAAACACACACAGTCTCTTCTCTCGATCTGGGCCTGGCAAACTTTTGATCAAACTTTCAAAAAGTTTAGGGATGAGCAATATAGCATTTTTCAGCAAATACACCAAACAATTTTGCCCAGCTCTAGTGAGAGGTGACATATATTGTAGTTTATAGTAACGGTCCACAGTGGCTGAATAAACCTTGCTACAATGCTAATTAAATCAGGCTTATGAAAGGTTGCAGTCGGTGCACGACATGAAGCTACTTTTGGCAGCAGTAATATTAGGAAAGCAAAACTTAAATCAGACTCCAGCAATAGTTTTACTGGTTCAGAGACATCCTCAAGAAAGATCTAACACAGCAATTATTGGAGCATTTGTAACTGAGCACAGCTGTAAAAACAGTTAATGGTATCTAGAGTGAACGTGCACGGTATGCTGACCTTACTGAAGAAAGTTAGTTGGAGAAGGCCCATAAGATGCACCAAAAAAATCCCTGAAGTCAATAAATCCAATGAGTTTATTTTAGTGCAACACAAAAGTGCTGATCACTCTCCACCCTGCTGCGCTCAGAGCAGGTGGTTGTTATTTCAGCAACACGTTTTCACTGTACTATGTTAAGGCACTTTAAAGAGAATATTAAATCTTGCACAACAGTCTCCTTTCCATTACATGACTCACAGTTTCAGTCAAGATTATAAAAATCTGACACTTTTTCCTACCTAACAATCAACATCATCCTTCTTCCTTGTAGAACTTCCTGCTGAGGTGGCACGGCTATGGAGTCCAGCACGAAGTCTGGTCATGTTCAGATAAAAATATCACCTCCCTACACAGCTCCACTTCAGGCTATTTTTTTCTTCAGAGGCACATTCTCATACACAGTTTTCTGTTTTTCTGATGACAGTTCAGGTATTTCAATGGGAGCCACACACCTAGATGGCTTATTTACCAGCTGTCAAAGGAATTTAAATGAAGCAGAATACTAAGATCTGATCTGCCATTCTACGTCAACAAATTAAGTAAACATGCTCAGAACATTGCAAACCATAGTTCTTCAAACAGTCTGTGGGCACAGCTACACCACCGCCTCAGGTAAAATGAGCTTTGGCTTAAAATATCAGTGATCAAATAAACACAGAAAGCAGAGAAAAGATCATGAACAACATTGAGTGAAGGTAACTACACAATATTGCTCTAAAAGAATATGTTGGCGAGGAAAATATGAGGTCATGTGACAATCACATGTAACAGAGAAGTCACATTTGTAGCATGTGGGCAGCTCTCTGTTCACTTTCTGGGACAATCAGGCTAATGCATTTCCCTAAGTCTTTGTCTATTCTGAGGGAATTTAAAAATTGCATGAGTTCTAACACTGCTTCAAACTGTTAAAACCAGTGATATCCCCAGTGTAGAAAAAGCTTGGACAGACAGACTCATTTTTACTACCATTTCATTAAGAAGCGCTTTTTAAAAACAGTAGCAAAAATGGATCCCAGAGATCCCATTAATTTTAGTTCCCTTTCAACTGAACCGGTGAGGAAAAGTTTTGAAAATTTCCCCGCTGTAAACGTGGCCTAAGAAGTATCTGATCAAATCCTGCAGTCTTTCCCTTCAATATAATTCTCTGCTGGACACACAATGCGTTACTGGATTCATGTTTCATTGGGTTGCCAGCAGAAACATTCTCTCCCCCGACCCCCAATACACAGTGTGTTTTTCTCATGTTTTCTTCTGTTAACGTAACTCTTATCAAAAGCATCAACAAAAATGCAATGAAAAGAGAATGTGATGTTGTTCTGTTGGATGTTATTCAACATAAATCTAAATGAAGGAAGGGCATGGAATCAATATTTATTCTATATAAAGCCAGCTAACAAGCTGCAGTGAAAAGAGCTCTTATTGCTTTCAGAAAGAACATATTTACCTTTCAACTTGAGGTCCACATTGTGCCTCAGCCAAGGATAAACTCCATAGTTTGACGAGTCTTCAGGAATGGGATTATTAGATGTCCAGCCATCACAGGCAAACCGAAAAAAATTCTCACAGGGATCCACAGACTGGTTTATTTTACTTAAGATGGAGGCAGCTGTAAAGTATCACATGGATTTATCAACTGTTTCAGCAAAATTTAAAATTCTGACAGATTATATCCCAAAATGATAGTTAACATACATCAGTTATCCCAGCAAGGTTTTTCACCCTCATCTGAAGGATAAAGATCATTCCCTGGCTTGTGGTGGTCTTGCTGTTTCCAGAATCTAACTTTACCCATGCATAAGTCAAATAACAGCCAAAATATTTGTGCATTCATCGTGATAACTAATTTGGACAAACCTGCCATTGATTGTTATGAGATGATCACTACAGCCAGATCTACAAAAAAATCGAATTTATAGAACCTGAATAGAAATGGAATCTCCATCTTGCAAGGACAGAGTGAAGTCTATCTAGCCATTTAATATCAGAGCATGTCAAACAGGCTGTAATTAGAACACCTCAAAATTATACATTCTTTACCGGCAGCAGCGTAGCACTCAAGGAAAATGTGTAAAATTCTTTACTACCTTGGAAGAGAGGAAAGAAAATACTTCCTGTTTAATCTTTATGACTGAATGCCCACTGATTATTATTAGAGAGGAGACTCTTCTGATAAAGGCATCGAGTCTAATAGTCAGTGGCTTTTAGAAAGTTTTTTTGAGCCATATACCAAACAATCTCTCTCCTGGTTATCAGTAAAAATCAAATTCCATAATAAATGGTTATGGCATAAATATGCATGTGATCGCTAGATTATCTGATTTGGATGGTGTGCATGGAACAGGTTACTGAGCAGTTTTCTTGTCCCCACTTCACTATCAATCAGAATAGATTTGAAATGTAAAAAACATTGCTTCTCTCAGGCACAGCAGAAGCCACCTGCACCTACGGTGGATATAACTGCAAAGATTCAGAAGTTCAGCTCAGTTTGGCTAAACATCCATACGTTTTGAATTTTATCCAAACAGTTTTGCTCTGAAAGTTGGACTGGAAGCCTGTGGTAATATTTCCAGTACCTGCTAGTTTTATTTAGGTTGGAATTGTCATTACAATAACTTTGCCGGTGTGGAATTTTTAAATGATCATTGGATAGCTACAAAGAGAGAAAGTTCAGGATTGGTTTGGTTCTTATCTAAATCAGAACTGTCCCTATTTGCACCCTAAATAACATTACATTGTTTCTTCTTTTATAGTGTCCAGCAAGCACACACAGGTTTGTAAAGAAATCAATAAAACATACTCTATATTAGCCCAAAGATAGTCTTTGTCCTTTGTAACACACGCAACCACCTCCTTTTACCTTCCCATACATTCTGAACTCCACTTGTGATGTCTCAAATATTAGAGACAAACTTGAACTAAAACTGAAGCTCTGAACTCCCTTGAAAGTGAAGATCCTAATCCACATCAGTACTGTATAGCTTGGGCCCATCTTTACTGGATGCTTTGCCCTTAGGCAATTATTGTACAGCTTTTGAATAGTTGTAAGACAAGCTGTGACCTAGACCTTAAGAATACACTGAAGAGATTCACTACTCATTGCTTTTTGAAGTAAGACAGTTGAGTCAAGTAGCTCTCCAGTTCTGACTCTAAACTCTGTGCAGAGTGACAATTTTTGTTGATCCAGCAAAAAATATTATGGTCAGCCATACATTAGCACAACTAACAAACATAAGAAACAGGAAAATAGTTCAGATAAAATATGGGCCCCCGTTTTTTCCAAATCTCAAAATAAACCCCATATTTTTTTGTGGTTCTTAAACATTTAGTCAATTTATTCCACCCTATTGCTTCCTATTTTCTCTCTCTCTCTCTCTCTCTCATCTTTCAGGGTTCAGCTGCAGGTAGAAGTGCCCAAATACCCCCAAAAAATTGTTGTTGCAAAAGACAAAGTAGAAATAGTAACTGTAGAAAATCTCATGAAAAAGTTTATTCTAATGAGATTACAAACCAATTCTGTAGTCTCAAGAAGTTCAGCTAAACAATCAAGTGCAATCCAAACTCCATACATTATGGGGCCTGAAAAAATACCCCAAAAGATGCCATATTGTCAACTTTGTTTGACTTTGACAGTCGGATTTTCAAATGTACTAAGCATTGGTCTAACTTTGCTCTCATTAAAGTCAATTGGACAACCTCCACTGTTTTCAATGGGAGCAGGATTAAGCCAAAGCTGAGCAGTTTAGAAAATGTCACCCTGACTTTATAATGCCCTTTGCCTGCAAACATTTACTGCCACCATATCCTAAAAAAATGACCACATGGTTCTCTAAATGGGCACAGCAGTCTGCCTGCACACAACAAGCTGTGGCATCAGGGCCATTGTCGCCACACGTGGTATTAAGGATTTGCTAGATCAGGCCCTACAGCGTCTATGTGATTATTAACATTTTGCTGATAAGTTACTTTGCTGGCTACTGAAAAGGAAATTTCATTAATATGAGCATTCCTAAAAGTGACTTTATCCAACACTAGACCTACAGTAAAAAAAAAAGACAGGATACAGTAGAACATGCTAGCACTACAAAAACAAAAGCAAAATAGAACTACAGTAAATTGCTGCTGCATTGGTTTTTAAATTATCTTGACATGTATTCACTGTTACCAAGCCTTCTTAAGTTAAAAGGAGTCATGGAACCATAGAATACTATCAATATTTCATATTTCTCTCAACTAAAGTATTGTAATTATGATACAAAACAAGATTGAAAAGTGTTGCTTACCAACTTCAACGCATTCTGAAGTCAAGCAATATTGTTGCTTAGGATGAAGGTTTATAAGACCTTGGCTAACTGCAAAATGGAAAAACAAATTGGGATAATTTGTACTGCAATGAATTAATTGTTAGCATTTTGAGTCAAACATCATGAACTCTGTAGCTTGAACACCCTGCCATATACATACTACAGAATGTAATTTTTGTACTCTGTCTGAATGCCTCTTGTCTCAATAAATTGCTAAGTAGGTGCTGGGTGGTGTTTAATGGCCTGTTTATGTACAGAAGATCAGACTAGATGATCTGGTGGTCCTTTATGGCCTTAAATTCTATGACTCTATGAAACACGTGCTGCCATTTTATTTTTCATAAGTCTAAAAATAGCAGCATGAAAAAGCAGGCACCTCACCTTCAGACAACATTAAATGGCTAACACTAGGGCATCACTGGTAGAAGGCCAGTGTACCAGAGATGCTAGTTCTTGGGCTGACATCAACACATTGTTTATTTACCAGTTTGGAAGATCTCACACCCATTGGTCATTGCAACCTTGTGTAGATTCTCTTGCATCACAACACTGCATTTTTTTTAAAACAAGACCAGTGCGGTAATTAAAAAAATTAACAAAATGGCTTTACAGTGTCCCTAGTAATTTTCAGCTTTTCTGAGGCTTCAGACAGCTGCTGTGCTTTAGCTTCTTTACTGGTTTTCAGACCTTTCCAAGTCTAATATTTCAAAAGGTTATCCACAAAATATATGTGCAGTTCCTCTGGGAGCTAAAGTAATAAATCCTTTGAGTGTTGCTGTCTTGTAGATCTGGTATAACAATGAGGGGGGGAAATGAAAAAAAAATGTTGAAATGTACCAGTTGGTTCTGTTTCTTGTAGTTTGAAAGGGAATCGCTTTTTGTTTCTTCAAAATTTTCTCTAAATATTTTTTAAAACCGTGCAAATTGTTGTTTTTCCTCCTTTCTCTCCTATTCCCTGAGTGCATTACAGTGAATAACACCCCCACAAAGTTGTTGGGGGGGCAGGTTGCATGTTTAGGAGGAATTCATTTTTTTTCCTTTTTCTAGTTTATAACATTTCAAAACTTCTCCAACTTTTGAAAAGATACCGAGAATTTAAAGGGACAACGTTATAAAGTGAAAAAAGAAGACTAGCCCTTATCCGTTCTGTTGCGCTCAGTGTTAAAAAGGGAAAAGAAGAGGAAGAAGGGGGCTGGGAGAAAACTGATATTTATGAAATCTGAAAACTGTTGGTTTTCAAAAAACAAAACAAAATTTCAATACAAAAACAAAACATTTTGATTTGTTTAGAAATTTCCTGTAAAAAAAAATTAAAATTTTGAAAAACACATTTTTGTTTTTGATTAAACCCTATTTTTTTGAGGGAAATTATTTCAGTTGAAAAGTTTTGACCAGCTCAATTGTCTTGCCATCTGATGTTACCAGAACCGATTATTACATGTAATCACGATTGTATTACCTGTTACACCTATTCTGCATCTACTTCTTAAGGTTATTTCCAGACTTCTAAGAAAATAAGTGGTATAAATACCTCAATGTGAGAAGACTTTAAAAGCCACAGAAATAATCTCACTAGCTTTACAGTTTGTGAAGTCCAAAGCTACCAGTGAAGCAGGGGCAAAGGGTATTGAAATCAAACCTTAAATCGCCTTATTCTCTGATCTTGCTGCCAGAGAAGGAATGGGCAGAGTGATCTTTCCTTCCCCTCTGCTCCTACCACCAGAGCAGGAGATTAGGCTGGGCCATAAGTTACTAATTTATATGGGATATGAGGCTCCTGAAGATGTTTAATGACAAACTGATGGCTGGGTTCTCAAAGTGCCCTGGGCCAAGCTGACTAGGGAAGGACGTGTCCATGGAGCCTGGCTGAAATCAGTGTATTTCCATTCTGGAATCTGTTGGCACATTTTATACAGAATCAGAGCCAGAATTTTAAGCTACCCTCCCCTGACAGAGCCCCCAATGGAAAGTGACAGTGCGGAGGTAACTAGTTGGATGGGATGTTCAGGGCTATGCCAACATTCCTATATATGTCAGATATTCCTGGAAGAGGACTCTATTGGAAGTTTACTGATATACTCTGGTAGCTGTTTCGAGTCTTGCTACAGAACTTGTTTTTTTGTGCAGAAAATACAAACAAGAAACCCCACTAGTCAGAAAGAGACAATTTTTCCAGCTTCTTATTGATTATCAGAGATGCTGAGCCCCCAAAACTCCCAGCAAGGTGAAGGGGAGCTGTGGGTGCTGGTGGTCTTGATCCTGCTCCCAAAGAAGTCAGTGGGAGTATGGACCACTAGGTGCAGGGTGGCCCCTATTATCCTTATATAATTGTCTTTTTAGCATTACATATTTTTGCCTGCATTTTCATGTCTAAACATTGGATAAAGAACTTGCTTCTTCAGTGAACTTTAGTGACTTAGGTTATATATTATCTTCAAATAATAAATACAAAGAAGAAGAAAATAAGCCCTCTTTTTATGATTATTCCTAGCTGTGTGATACTCTATTTTGCACTCAAACTGTGGACCTGATTCTGCCAGAAGTTATGGATGTATGAAGTTTCACACTCATTAAGAGTCCAACTGAATTCCCTGAGACTCCTTGTTTTATATGTGTAGTTACTCATGTGTAAGTGTTTGCAGGTTCAGGACCAACATACTGTAGCCTGTTGCTTTAAGTTTTTCATATAGATGTTTTTAGCTGACATACAGGAGATTTTAAATAGTGGTTCTCAGTATAGAGTCTAGGGCTAGTATACCTTTCAAACAAGACTATAAAAGAGCTGAGAGAAATAAAATGCATTAACATCCTTAGAGGCCAGATTCACAACTGGTGTAAAGCAGCATAGCTCTGTCAAATTCAAACAAATTACACTGATTTACTCCACATGAGGATCTGACCCTATTGAGCTTTTATGAAATACTGCTTTCCCAGATGGTTTTCATTTAGTAGTAGGCATCTTTGGCACAACCAAATATATTCCACATAATTTTATAGATCTGTGAATGTACTTTAAGCAATATCCCTACAAAATTCGTTCACAATAAACTCCAGATCCTGGAGAGGAAAATATTCCTTCTCCACTCTGTTCAACTGTAGCTAATAAATCTGATGCAAATAGTTTAATTTCAACCACCATGCATTTGATTACCATCTTTCCAAAGAAGATTCCATGATTCATCACAGAAAAACATTAACTGGTATAAAGAAACGTGCAGAACATTTAGTCAAATCCTGATGGTGAGCAAATGAAATGAATAACCACAGGGATTCCATAACGCTCACACTTGAGAGCTCAGGTTTCTGCAAACAGAAACTATTAACCCATATCAGTCAGAATCTTTCAGTAAATCAGCATTATTGATACACATAATTTTACCAGTCTCTCCCTAAACTATAAAAGACCACAATTCTTAATAGAGTACTTTCTACTGAACAGTCACATTCAAATAAAGTATTCAAAGCTATGGTTGCTGGTGTGGCAGCTCCCAACTATAACAGTTTGTTTTACAAATGGCTTTATTGAAATATCTTCATTTCCATTTAAAATAAAACAGCAGAAGGAGAAAGGATGGTGAATATAGCCAAAACTATGCATAGGTAAGCCATATAGGTAAGCATAGGTAAGCATCCCAGCAAGAAGCAGAAAACCTTGAGAGAGTTTCAATTTTGCTAATGTATAACTTTTAACTTACCTAGAAAAAGTGCAATGCCAAGCACTATAATACCACTTATGAGTACGCCAAGGGCTATCCGAATGGCTTTGCTGGCAGTCCTCTTTGCGACTGGCGCCGAATTCCCCATTGCCTCTCCTTCCATTAGAATGATTTTAGAAAGCACTCTAGAAGAAATCTTGTTTTCTTTTTACTGCTGGTTTGCCAGCATTTCAGCTAGTCACAAACCCTCTTTATAAGCTCTGTCTTTTCTGTCACTTTCTTATTTACAACTTAAAGTTCCTGTCATGAAACATTTCCTAGCCCACACTCTATCTCAAAACGAAAAAAACACACACAAGAAACACTGGCTGTCTTAAATTTTCCTCTGACCAGGACTTGGGATGACAAACAGTGACTACTTTATTTACAGCTCTTGCTGTCTGCAAAGTCTGTATGAACCAATCACTTCATAATCTCTTTTATCTGTTCAGAACATGAATATTTCACAATAGTGCTGAACTGATATTTTAGCTACTCAAACATATAGCGATAAAACCCTTTACTATCAAAACTAAACTTCTAGCAAACGTTTTCTAACACTAAAATTGGTGGAGTGGTTTTTCTTGCACCTATTTAAAGAACCTAATTATCTGCTGAACAGAATTCCTTTTTCTTTAATCATCCTTGCTGCATCATTTGTCTTCGAAAAGACATCCTCTCAAGCGTACAAATCCCTTTATAAAGTTTCCTAGGGGGTTTTGGGATATCCTGTAGTATTTTATTTTGGGAACTTTGTATATGATACTATGTGCCAAAAATCATAGTCATGCTCAGTTGCAGTGCAAAGCAGTAATTAAGACAACCTACAGAAGAGTTCTCTCTCTTTTTTTAAATTTCAGACAAGCCATATTCTAGGTCCTGTGGTGCTGCTGTGTATGTTAGTAAAAGACACCGTGCTTCTGAACGAAACATTTCTGCTGCTATGAGTGGGATAGCAGAGAATATATCCATTTGGGGCAACTGTAGATGGGGGAAGGTTTAGCTACAGGGATTTCCAGTTCCAAGGTTTAAATTTGGACAAAAGTTGCTTTTGATGGTGAGAGTTTTCCAGCTAAATCCCTGTGACATTTATCGTTTCAAGTTGATTTTTTTTCCCTCTGGTCTGAGGCAACAAGGGAGGGGCCAGAATTTCTTGCCAAACTGTAGAACTGATCCCACCATCCGTACAATTGTAATAATCATTGTACAAAATATTCCTTTTGAGATATGATTTGAAAACTAGTAATTCAGTGATCATTAATATTCTTGCATGATGTATGTATACAATGGATATTAAGAGTTATAGATATATGTTAGAATAATGACTAACGTGTGTTTAAACCAGGCATGTCACGTGGAGTTGGTAAACAGGTCTGCCTTAGAAAGGAATTTGTATTTCATTCTCGGACTAGCCCAATCTTCAGGCAAAGACAATGGCGGTCCATTTTAACATATTAGGTAAACGAAGTTATTAAGCTAACAGTTGGGAGAAGAAAGAGCATGGAACCTCCTTCACCACCTGACTCCATGTTGCCTTGCTTACAGCTTGAATGAACTTTTCTTTGAGGTTCACTCACACTCACAAGAATCCATTTCAAAGGTTCACTGATCTATAAAGACAGGGAGTTAGAACCTCAAGTGATAAACAGTTGAATCAACTGATTCCATACAAAATTATTGAATTAGCAAAGTGTACAGAGGAAGGTCTTTTCTGAAAACTAATGACACACTGGTGATTAATATCATTGTGAAATATATGTATTAACACTATGAGGAAATATGGATACTTAATGATATTATGTTTTAAAATCTGTGGCCAAACAGGGAGAAACAAGTTCCCTCCCAGACAGGAATGAAGGCAACTATCTACCTGTCTCTAATGAAATCAAGCAAGGTGTGACCAAAAACAATAGATGCCCCATTTACATAGAAATCAGCAGGGGGATGGGAAGCCCTCAGGAAGAGAAGAACAGCAGGTCACCCTGCCTCTTGAAGCAAGGTCATGGAACTTTGGAAGATATAAGCAAGGACAGAAGACATCTTTGGCATCCATCACTGGGCAGACACACGGGACCAGAGCTCCTGCAAGCTGACAAAGATGAGCCCTTCAACCAATGAGGGTCAGGGGGTGAAGTCTCTGGAAACTGAATGTAGATGAGAAACCTGCTTAGGCACAGATCATTCACTGAGGAAGACAAGGGAAGCCAGCACCTTGTACTTCTGCGGAAGGTCCTGACAGAGGGAAAGTGACCCATGGCTGAGAAGGACGATTGGCATGAGAAACCAGTTTGAATACAGCCTGTACCCTGCTAGATTAAGTTTTAGACTTTTAGATGTGCGTTTTCACTTGTATTTGCTTGTAACACTTGCTAACTTTATTCCTTTTACTTGGCATCACTAAACCTATGGCCTATTGTTAATAAATTTGGTTTATTTTACTATAAACCAACTCAGTGCAGTGTTTAAAGGAAATTTACCCCAGTTAAGTTAATAAGCTGTGATATGCCTTTGTCTCTTTACAAGAACAAACTTTATTTTTTCTCTGAACTGTCCAGGAGAGGACTGGACATTACAGAGCACATGGTTTTGTGAAAACTCAGGACTGGATGTGGGTTGGGGTCACCTTGCTGGTTGTAACCAAGGCTACTGGAAGCCAGAGTGGGGCCACAGGGCGGTAGACCAGCTGCTGAGCTCAGAGGGGCTGAACCAGCATTGTCTAGCATACAGACACTTCCGGGTGTGATCTGCATGCTTGTAGGCTGGTTATGAGTGACCCAGGCTGGGAACTACAGCAGCAAACCATTATAAGGCACCCAGGGTTTGAGGGCAAGAAGTGAAAACCCTTCACTAGTCTGGATTGCCCCCTGGCCCCTGTAAAGATGGTGAGTTTTCCAACTATATCCATGATTAAGTTTATCACTGCAAATTTAATTACTTTTTCTCTTCAGGTCTGCGACAACAAGGGGTGGGCCTGAATTTCTGGCCCAACTGTAGAACTGACAGTCATTTTCAAAAATCTTCCACTCCCAGACTACCTCTCTGCAAGTAAAAAGCTACATGTAAAGTTGCCATGTTCATGCTCTCAACAGCAATATATTTATGTTTTACTCTTCAGTTAACTTCCTGGGCCCTGTTCGTCCCCCTTTCCTGGTAAGACCTGTAGGAGGGAACTTAAAAGAAGGAAATCTCAATGAAAGTCTCCCCAGTCATCCTTTTTGAGGCAGGATTTACTGCCTCTCTCTCCTCCCTGGCATGGACTAAGCTAAGAGGGCCAGCCTTAAATAACTGCTTTTTGGAGCAGCTAGTCCTGGACCCACAAGAGGAGATCCTAGAGCACAGGATCTGGTCCACTGGTGAATATAGTGGTAATAGTGACCACAATATAATTAACTTTAACATCCCTGTGGTGGGGGAAACACCACAGCAGCCCAACACTGCAGCATTTAATTTCAGAAAGGGGGACTACACAAAAAATGAGGAAGTTAGTTAAACAGAAATCAAAAGGTGCAGTGCCAAAAGTGAAATCCCTGCAACTTTTTAAAGACACCATAATAGAGGCTCAACTTAAATGTATAACCCAAATTAAAAAACATAGTAAGAGAACCAAAAAGTGCCACCGTGGCTAAACAACAAAGTAAAAGAAGCAGTGAGAGACAAACGGCCATCCCTTAAAAAGTGAAAGTTAAATCCTAGTGAGGAAAATAGAAAGGAGCATAAACTTTAGCAAGTGAAGTGTAAAAATATAATTAGGAAGGCCAAAAAAGAAAGAGAAGAACACCTGGCCAAAGACTCAAAAAGTAAAAGCAAATTTTTTTTAAAGTACACCAGAAGCAGGAAGCCTGCTAAACAACCAGTAGGGCCACTGGACAATCAAGATGCTAAAGGAGCACTCAGGGACAATAAGGCCATTGTGGATAAACTAAATTAATTATTTGCATTGGTCTTCACAGCTGAGGATGTGAAGGAGATTCCCAAACCTGAGCCATTCTTTTTAGGTGACTAACCTGAGGAACTGTCCCAGATTGAGGTGTCATTAAAGGATGTTTTGGAACAAATTGATAAACTAAACAGTAATAAGACACCAAGACAGATGGTATTCACCCAAGAGTTCTGAAGGAACTCAAATGTGAAATTGCAGAACTACTAACCTTAGTTTGTAAACTATCATTTAAATAATTTTCTGTACCAGATGACTAGAGGATAGCTAATGTGATGACAATTTTAAAAAGGGGCTCCAGAGGTGATCCAGCAATTACAGGCCGATAAGCCTGACTTCAGTACAGGGCAAATTGGTTGAAACTATAGTAAAGAACAAAATTGTCAGACACATAGATGAACATAATTTGTTGGGGAAGAGTCAACATGGTTTTTGTAAAGGGAAATCATGCCTCACCAATCTACTAGAATTCTTTAACAAGCATGTGGACAAGGGGGATCTAGTGGATATAGCCCTGGTCTACACTAGGACTTTAGGTCGAATTTAGCAGCGTTAAATCGATTTAAACCTGCACCCGTCCACACAATGAAGCCCTTTATTTCGACTTAAAGGGCTCTTAAAATCGATTTCCTTACTCCACCCCTGACAAGTGGATTAGCGCTTAAATCGACGTTGCCGGCTCGAATTTGGGGTACTGTGGACACAATTCGATGGTATTGGCCTCCGGGAGCTATCCCAGAGTGCTCCATTCTGACCGCTCTGGACAGCGCTCTCAACTCAGATGCACTGGCCAGGTAGACAGGAAAAGAACCGCGAACTTTTGAATCTCATTTCCTGTTTGGCCAGCGTGGCAAGCTGCAGGTGACCATGCAGAGCTCATCAGCACAGGTGACCATGATGGAGTCCCAGAATCGCAAAAGAGCTCCAGCATGGACCGAACGGGAGGTATGGGATCTGATCGCTGTTTGGGGAGAGGAAGCCGTGCTATCAGAACTCCGTTCCAGTTTTCGAAATGCCAAAACCTTTCTGAAAATCTCCCAGGGCATGAAGGACAGAGGCCATAACAGGGACCCGAAGCAGTGCCGCGTGAAACTGAAGGAGCTGAGGCAAGCCTACCAGAAAACCAGAGAGGCGAACAGCCGCTCTGGGTCAGAGCCCCAAACATGCCGCTTCTATGATGAGCTGCATGCCATTTTAGGGGGTTCAGCCACCACTACCCCAGCCGTGTTGTTTGACTCCTTCAATGGAGATGGAGGCAATACGGAAGTAGGTTTTGGGGACGAAGAAGATGAGGAGGAGGAGGAGGTTGTAGATAGCTCACAGCAAGCAAGTGGAGAAACCGGTTTTCCTGACAGCCAGGAACTGTTTCTCACCCTAGACCTGGAGCCAGTACCCCCCGAACCCACCCAAGGCTGCCTCCTGGACCCAGCAGGCAGAGAAGGGACCTCTGGTGAGTGTACCTTTTAAAATGCTATACATGGTTTAAAAGCAAGCATGTGAAAGGATTACTTTGCCCTGGCATTTGCGGTTCTCCTAGATGTAGTCCTAAAGCCTTTGCAAAAGGTTTCTGGGGAGGGCAGCCTTATTTCGTCCTTCATGGTAGGACACTTTACCACTCCAGGCCAGTAACACGTACTCGGGAATCACTGTAGAACAAAGCATTGCAGTGTATGTTTGCTGGCATTCAACCAAAATCCATTCTTTATCTCTCTGTGTTATCCTCAGGAGAGTGAGATATAATTCATGGTCACCTGGTTGAAATAGAGTGCTTTTCTTCAGGGGACACTCAGAGGAGCCCATTCCTGCTGGGCTGTTTGCCTGTGGCTAAACAGAAATGTTCCCCGCTGTTAGCCGCAGGGAGGGGGGAAGGTTGAGGGGGTAGTCACGCGGTGGGAGGAGGCAAAATGCGACCTTGTAACGAAAGCACATGTGCTATGTATGTAATGTTAACAGCAAGGTTTACCCTGAAAGAGTGTAGCGACTGTTTTATAAAATGTGTCTTTTTAAATACCGCTGTCCCTTTTTTTTTCTCCACCAGCTGCATGTGTTTCAATGATCACAGGATCTTCTCCTTCCCAGAGGCTAGTGAAGCTTAGAAAGAAAAAAAAACGCACTCACGATGAAATGTTCTCCGAGCTCATGCTGTCCTCCCACACTGACAGAGCACAGACGAATGCGTGGAGGCAAATAATGTCAGAGTGCAGGAAAGCACAAAATGACCGGGAGGAGAGGTGGAGGGCTGAAGAGAGTAAGTGGCGGGCTGAAGAGAGTAAGTGGCGGGCTGAAGACAGGGCTGAAGCTCAAATGTGGCGGCAGCGTGATGAGAGGAGGCAGGATTCAATGCTGAGGCTGCTGCAGGACCAAACCAGTATGCTCCAGTGTATGGTTGAGCTGCAGCAAAGGCAGCTGGAGCACAGACTAACACTGCTGCCCCTCTGTAACCAACCGCCCTCCTCCCCAAGTTCCATAGTCTCCACACCCAGACGCCCAAGAATGCGGTGGGGGGGCCTCCGGCCAACCAGCCACTCCACCACAGAGGATTGCCCAAAAAAAAGAAGGCTGTCATTCAATAAATTTTAAAGTTGTAAACTTTTAAAGTGCTGTGCTTAAAGTGCTGTGTGGCATTTTCCTTCCCTCCTCCACCACCCCTCCTGGGCTACCTTGGTAGTCATCCCCCTATTTGTGTGATGAATGAATAAAGAATGCATGAATGTGAAGCAACAATGACTTTATTGCCTCTGCAAGCGGTGATTGAAGGGAGGAGGGGCGGGTGGTTAGCTTACAGGGAAGTAGAGTGAACCAAGGGGCGGGGGGTTTCATCAAGGAGAAACAAAGAGAACTTTCACACCGTAGCCTGGCCAGTCATGAAACTGGTTTTCAAAGCTTCTCTGATGCGTACCGCGCCCTCCTGTGCTCTTCTAACCGCCCTGGTGTCTGGCTGCGCGTAACCAGCAGCCAGGCGATTTGCCTCAACCTCCCACCCCGCCATAAACGTCTCCCCCTTACTCTCACAGATATTGTGGAGCACACAGCAAGCAGTAATAACAGTGGGAATATTGGTTTCGCTGAGGTCTAAGCGAGTCAGTAAACTGCGCCAGCGCGCCTTTAAACGTCCAAATGCACATTCTACCACCATTCTGCACTTGCTCAGCCTGTAGTTGAACAGCTCCTGACTACTGTCCAGGCTGCCTGTGTACGGACTCATGAGCCATGGCATTAAGGGGTAGGCTGGGTCCCCAAGGATACATATAGGCATTTCAACATCCCCAACAGTTATTTTCTGGTCTGGGAATAAAGTCCCTTCCTGCAGCTTTTGAAACAGACCAGAGTTCCTGAAGATGCGAGCATCATGCACCTTTCCCGGCCATCCCACGTTGATGTTGGTGAAACATCCCTTGTGATCCACCAGAGCTTGCAGCACTATCGAAAAGTACCCCTTGCGGTTTATGTACTCGGCGGCTTGGTGCTCCGGTGCCAAGATAGGGATATGGGTTCCGTCTATAGCCCCACCACAGTTAGGGAATCCCATTGCAGCAAAGCCATCCACTATGACCTGCACATTTCCCAGGGTCACTACCCTTGATATCAGCAGATCTTTGATTGCGTGGGCTACTTGCATCACAGCAGCCCCCACAGTAGATTTGCCCACTCCAAATTGATTCCCAACTGACCGGTAGCTGTCTGGCGTTGCAAGCTTCCACAGGGCTATCGCCACTCGCTTCTCAACTGTGTGGGCTGCTCTCATCTTGGTATTCATGCGCTTCAGGGCAGGGGAAAGCAAGTCACAAAGTTCCATGAAAGTGCCCCTACGCATGCGAAAGTTTCGCAGCCACTGGGAATCGTCCCAGACCTGCAACACTATGCGGTCCCACCAGTCTGTGCTTGTTTCCCAAGCCCAGAATCAGCGTTCCACAGCATGAACCTGCCCCATTAGCACCATGATGCATGCATTGTCAGGGCCCATGCTTTCAGAGAAATCTGTGTCCATGTCCTGATCACTCACGGGACCGCGCTGACGTCGCCTCCTCGCCCGGTATCGCGTTGCCATGTTCTGGTGCTGCATATACTGCTGGATAATGCGTGTGGTGGTTAATGTGCTCCTAATTGCCAAAGTGAGCTGAGCGGCCTCCATGCTTGCCTTGGTATGGCGTCCGCACAGAAAAAAGGCGCGGAACGATTGTCTGCCGTTGCTCTGACGGAGGGAGGGGCGACTGACGACACGGCTTACAGGGTTGGCTTCAGGGAGCTAAAATCAACAAAGGGTGTGCCTGTACATCAAGGAGTATTTCAGGCAGGACTGCACGGAGGGTTCCAATAAGAAATGGTGCACCTAAGTTATCGTTGTTATTGGAACAAGGAGGTTAGCCTGGCCTCTGATTGATACATGGCTAGATTTACCTCGCTGCACCTTCTCTGTGAGTGACTGCAGTGTGATCTAGACAGGGGAGGAGGCAAATGAGTACAAAACAAATCTGGTCTATTTCTTGTTCTGACCCACTCCATCTATCTTTTACATCTTTGGCTGGCAGCAGACGGTGCAGAAGGACTGCATGCCATCCACATCTCATGGCTGCTCGGCAGAAGATGGTACAGTACGACTGCTAGCCATCTTCATCTCTTGCCTGCCTGGCATAAGATGGTACAATACGACTGCTAGCAATCCCCATCTCTTGCCTGCCTGGCAGAAGATGGTACAATACGACTGCTAGCAATCCCCATCTCTTGCCTGCCTGGCAGAAGATGGTACAGTACGACTGCTAGCAGTCCGTATCGCCTGCCCGCTCACCATAAGACGGTTCAATAGGACTGACTGCAGGACTAAAGAGAATGACCTGGTCAAGTCACTCCAAATTTAGTCCCTGTGCCCATGTCTGCCCAGGCGCTCCTGATTGACCTCACAGAGGCGACCAGGAGCACCTCAGACATGACGATGACGGCTACCAGTCGTTCTGTACCGTCTGCTGCCACAAGGCAAGGGGTTGCTGCTACTGTGTAGCAATGCCGTACCGCGTCTGCCAGCACCCAGGAGACATAGGGTGACGGTTACCTGAGCGGGCTCCATGCTTGCCATGGTATGGCGTCTGCACAGGTAACTCAGGAAAAAAGGCGCGAAATGATTGTCTGCCCTTGCTTTCACGGGGGGAGGGAGGGAACGGGGGGCTGACGATATGTACCCAGAACCACCCGCGACAATGTTTTAGCCCCATCAGGCATTGGGATCTCAACCCAGAATTCCAATGGGCAGCGGAGACTGCGGGAACTGTGGGATAGCTACCCACAGTGCAACACTCCGGAAGTCGACGCTTGCCTCGGTACTGTGGAAGCGCTCCGCCGAGTTAATGCACTTAATGCACTTAGAGCATTTTCTGTGGGGACACACACACTCGAATATATAAAACCGATTTCTAAAAAACTGACTTCTATAAATTCGACCTAATTTCGTAGTGTAGACATACCCTTAGTGTACTTAGCTTTTCAGCAAGCCTTTGACAAGGATCCTCACCAAAGGCTTTTAAACAAAGTAAGCTGTCATGGGATAAAAGGGAAGGTCCTTACATGGATTGGTAACTGATTAAAAGATAGGAAACAAAGGGTAGGGATAAATGGTCAGTTTTCAGAATGGAGAGAGGTAAATACTGGTGTCCCCAGGGGTCTGTACTAGCACTAGTCCTATTCAACATATTCATAAATGATCTGGAAAAAAAGGGTAAACAGTGAGGTGGCAAAATTTGCAGATGATACAAAAGTACTCAAGATAGTTAAGTCCCAAGCAGACCATGAAGAGCTACAAAAGGATCTCACAAAACTGGGTAACTTGGCAACAAAATGGCAGATGAAATTCAATGTTGATAAATGTAAAGTAATGCACTGCACATTGGAAAACATAATTCCAACCATACATATAAAATGATGGGGTCTAAATTAGCTGTTACCACTCAAGAAAGAGATCTTGGAGTCATTGTGGATAGTTCTCTGAAAACATACTTGAATACTACATGCAGATGTGGTTGCCCCATCTCAAACAAGATAGATTGGAACTGGAAAAGGTTCAGAAAAAGGGCAACAAAAATTATTAGGGGTATGGAATGGCTGTGGTATGAGGAGATATTAATAAGACTGGGACTTTTCAGCTTAGAAAAGAGACAAATAAGGAGGAATATGATAGAGGTCTATAAAATCATGACGGATGTGGAGAAAGTAAATTAGGAAGTGTTATTTACTCCTTCTCATAACACAAGAACTGGGGTCACCAAATGAAATTAATAGGCAGCAGGTTTAAAACAAACAAACTGAAGTATTTTTTCACACAATGCACAGTCAACCTGTGGAACTCCTTGCCAAAGGATGTTATGAAGGCCAAAACTATAACAGCGTTCAAAAAATAACTAGATAAGTTCATGGAGGTTAGGTCCATCAATGACTATTAGCCAGGATGGGCAGGGATGGTATTCCTGGCCTCTGTTTGCCAAAAACTGGGAATGGGCGACAGGGGATGGATCACTTGATGATTACCTGCTCTGTTCATTCCCTCTGGGGCACCTGGCATTGGCCACCATTGGAAGACAGAATACTGGGCTAGATGGACCTTTGGTCTGACCCAATATGGCCGTTCTTATGTTGTCGGATAGAAGTTGCATGTGATGGGATCATATGTGGGGGAGAAATGCCCGACAGGCAAGATGGGCAGTTCTCAATTCCAGGATGTTGCTGTACATCCTGGCCTCTTTTGGTGTCCGGAGGCCTTGGCCTGTGTGATCATCCAGGTGGACACCCCAACCAGTAAGGGAGGCATCTGTGGTGAGATTAGTGTGAAGTAGTGGGAGGTGCAAATTGGGTACCAACCAGGACCTTGGGTAGGTTGGTTCAGCACATGAGGGACTCAAGGATGATCCAGGGGAGTAGGATGGGCTTGTCTAAGCAGTCTGTTTGTGGTTTGAAGATCAATTTGAGCCATAGTTGGAGGCAGCACATGAGGCATTACAGAGGTGTCACCATGTGGCCAAAGAGGGAAAGACATCAGCAGATGCAGGTGCATGGTCTGTGGCGTAAAGCTGTAATGAGAGAAGAGAATGTGATACACTGTGAGGAAAGCACAGGCTGCAAGAGAATCCATGTGCATCCCAATAAAGGTGATCCATAGGGTAGGTACAAGGACTGATTTCTTCTCATTGATAGAAATGCCCAGATCAGAGAGGAGATCGAAAAGGGTCTGGATAGCTGAGAGGAGGTGTTTGCATGATGTCAAAATGAGGAGCCAGTCATCCAGGTAGGGAAACACGGAGTGGCCAATGCATCGCATGTGATCTGTGAAGACTTTTGTGGATGGCGGTGGCAATACCAAAGGACACAGAACTGATCGTGAAAGTGACCAACCGTAAAATGGAGAAATTTCCAGTGAGCCATGCCAATGTCAACGTGGAAATATTCACCTTTCATACTGAGAGCCATGAACCAAGCTCCCTTGGAAAGTGAGGGAATAAGGATAAGGGAGTGACCATCCGGAACTTCAATTTTTGTATGAAGCTGCTGAGTAAACTGGTGGTCCAGAATGGGGCGGCGGCCACCTCCCTTTTTTTGAATAAGGAAATATGGAGAATAAAAGGCACAATCCTGGTAATGCAGGGGGACTTGCTCTGTGGCACCCTTCTGGAGAAGGGAGTCTGCTTCCTCTTAGCTAGGATGATAGGACAGATCTCCATGGCCAACCTGGGGTGAGCAACAATGGGAGAATGAGAGAAGTTCTACA